GTGGAATTACAGAGGACTGAAGAATAACTTGAATGAAATACAAATACTCATACAAGATCTACAACCGCCAGCATTGTGTCTCCAAGAGACGTATCTTAAAAATACTGATAACTTTAACTTAAGACGATATAGTGATTATCATTCTTTTTCCCCTCCAGGCGATAAAGCTACTGAAGGCGCTTCTGTTTTGGTACATCAGAGTGTCATTCATAGCCCCGTCACTCTAAATACGAATCTTCAAACTGTTGCTGTTCGTCTCACTCTGCACATTGCGCTGACATTGTGCAGCTTGTATATACCTTTCAATAATCAATGATCAGATCTTGAAAACCTATATTGATCAACTTCCGAAGCCATGTTTCATCATTGGCGATCTTAACGGACACAACCCCCTTTGGGAGAAGTGCCCATACAAAGTTAAAATCCTTGAGGAATTCATTTCCGATAATAATTTATGTATTTTCAATGACTACTCAGGCACTTATCTACATGCAGTTACGGGAACATATTCTTGTATGTTGAACGCTTGAAGCATGGCTTTTTCAGGAATAGTGAAGATCCTAGACACTCGTTTTCAGATATTTTAAATGATATTGCTGACAGAACAATACCACAGTCTTCTGCAACTCCACACATTCGCAAACCATGGTTTAATACTGACTGTAAACAGGTCAGAAAGTGCAGGAAGAAAGCGGGAGAATATTTGCGCAAACATCATACTGTCCATAATTTAGACAAAGTTCCAATTTCAAATGCCAAGACTCGGCGCGCATTTAAACAGAATAAGCGTCAGTCTTGGAGGAACTATGTTTCCAAAATACATTCACGTACACCTATGTCAAAGCTGTGGAACATGGTCCAAAGAATAAACAGCAAAGGTTTTAAATCTACTGGTCACGTGATGGTGATAATCTATTGACTAATAAAACTGAAATAGCAAATAAAATCTTGCGAAACATTCTTCATCATCCAATTATGTCCCTAAGTTTCAAAAATATCAGAAACAACAGGAGAAGAAAAGAATCAATTTTAACTATGAAGACTATAACGAATTATTTTCGTTACATGAGCTCCAAACCGCCCTTGAGCAAGCTCATGATACAGCAACAGGGGCTGATAATATACACTATCAGCTCTTGAAGCATCTTTGAATTATGTTTAGAAATCCTTATACAAATCTTTGATCAAATATGGACTTCAGAGAATTTCCCAACTTCATTGTGGCCTAATGCCATGTCCAAACCCTGGCCGGGATCATACTGATCCATCAAATTACAGACCAATCTCTTTAACTAGTTGTTTCTGTTAAACCACTGAACGAATGGTAAACAATAGATTAACATGGTATCTTGAAACCAATAACCAATAATGAATACGTTTTTAAAGGTGTGCAAACTTTTATTCATCAATCAAAACGTTTTGTGTGATCACATGAGTTGTATCCCTTCCTCTACTTAACTTTCCTATCTCTTCTCTCTATTCTTTCCTAATATGTATATAATTGAAAATGTATGTATGTAAATATTAGGGAGCGGGTATTTTAAGTTGGATTACTTGTCCCCAATCCCTTTCACATTTGTGAATAAAATATGTTTAATTCAATCAAACCAATAACCTTATAAAATCGTAGTACCATTGATGATTTGGTACGGTTAGAATCCTTTGTTGAAAATGCTTTAGTAAATAAACAACATGCTGCATCGATATTCTGTGATCTCGAGAAAGCATACGATACCACCTGGAAGCATGGAATGTTGAAGGAGTTACATGACTTGAGGGGTCGTTTACCTCTTTTTATATCACAGTTTCTAACCGACAGGCAATTTCAAGTCCGAGTGGGTTCAACCCTGTCTGGCCATTACAATCAGGATCAGGGTGTCCCACAAAGCAGTATTTTGTCTGTCACTTTATTTAGTATCAAGATCAACAGTTTATCCAAGGTTTTAAATGATTCAATTGATGGATCACTTTTTGTGGATGATGTTAATATTTCTTGTCACGGTAAAAATATGCATACTATTGAACCTCAAATGCAGCTGTGATTAAATAAAATAAATAAATGGTGCCGGCATTGAGCTGGAAAATATAGCTCCTTCCCGTCTTCTTTCGTCTTTCTTTTGGTTAGGCCACAAGTTGACCAAACATTAATTTTAAGCACTTTCAAAAAAATCAGAAACTAAAGAATTACAGTATAAACAAGAATTTAGTAACTTAAGATAAATATTTATTTACAGATGGGCCCAAGGATGGTGGCGCAGTAGCATGTGCCACTGTCATTTGATCCAAAACTATATCTTCTGGATTGCCTGATAACAGCTCTATTTTCACAACAGAAGCAAACGCAGTATTGACAGCCTTAAAATACCATAAGTTTCTTTCGTGTCTTCAGGCTATTAAAAATCTTTCTTGCAAACATCCACTTTTAATTGAAATTATTGAATAATATAATGATCTTGCTACTGTCCAATACGACATCGTCCTCTCTTGGTTACCCAGCCACGTTGGCATTTCCGGTAAGACAATGGCCGATCTTGCTGCCAAGGCAGCACTCAACAAATCTGTGACACAACTTCTTATTCCATACACTGATTATAAAGCTACCATTAGATCTTATATCCGTGAACTGATGCAGAAGAGGTGGGACACCCTAGTAGGTATCAATAGATTACATGCCATAAAACCCTATATTGGTTATATCTGCTTGAGTTGTCAGTCCAGATTTGAAGAGGTCATCATGCGACAATGTAGTATTGGTCACACAAGATATACTCATGAAGACCTACTGAAAGGTGAGGATCCTCCATTTTGCATCCCTTCTGATGAAAGAATTACGGTCAAGCATGTCTTACTTGACTATGTTGAATATTCCATCACAAGGGATAACTATTTCAAATCACGAACTATGAAGGATCTTTTTAATAATATCAGTTATTGCATTTTAAAAGAAATAGATTATTAAATGATTTGTAAATAGATACATATTTTATGATTTGAAGTTTATATTAGTAACTCAGACTGTTAGTGGCTGTATCCTCAAGGGGGGTTAAAGTACTGTAAAATTATTGTCCTCCTGAGAGGGTACGTAGGTCCCAAAACATTCCAAAAAAATTAAAACTCTCCACTTTTTTTAATCGTAGAATGTGTGTATTTTTAATTTATTTGTCTATATTGCTAACAACTGAAGGGATTATGTAAATCCAGCGACGGACCATGCAGGAAGCAAATGTACTGTAAGACACCATGGTCCCTAGTATGGTGATCTACCTTCAGTTGTTGGCAATCTATAGCCTGTTTTATATTTTACTGTCATTTATAGTTAAGATATTTTAGATGTAATTATGAGTCTTAAATTTATTCCTGTGATAATCTAGTTGTTTTACTGTCCTTTGCAGAAAGGTAAGTATATTATATAAGTTTGTTTGTATTCATGTATAAATTTACAACTTTCTTAGTCACGATATGGCTGAAATACTGCCTATGTGACTTTAAATTTTAACTCACTCACTCATATGATCGAGTATCAGGCTTAATTGAGCCCACAAGACACCCAACACTCCTTTATCCATTCTCAAAAAAACACCTGAACCTCCATCCTTCACCCTCCATCACAACACCTGAAACTCCAGCCTCCAACACAACACCTGAAACTCCAGCCTCCACCAAACCACCTGAAACTCCAGCCTCCAACCTCCATCACAACACCTGAAACTCCTGCGTCCATCCTCCAACACAACAGCTGAAACTCCAGCCTCATGGAGGGGCTTCCAACACAACACCTGAAACTCCAGCCTCCAGCCTCCAGCTTCCAACACAACAGCTGAAACTCCAGCCTCCAGCCTCTAACACAACATCTGAAACTCCAGCCTCCAGCCTCCAACACAACACCTGAAACTCCAGCCTCCAACACGACACCTGAAACTCCAGCCCCAAGCCTCCAACACGACACCTGAAACTCCAGCCTCCAACACGACACCTGAAACTCCAGCCTCCAGCCTCCAACACGACACTTGAAACTCCAGCGTCCTGGAAGACCGTAGAAGATGCCTGCGAGAATGTAAGTTAGACCAGGAAGAATTCAACAACGCCTTCTATTCTCCCCTGTTAGACCCACACAATCAAGGTGCACGAGTGGGATATTCAGTAATACTACTTGCAATATATTTCTTGATATACTAAAAAATATCAGTGTTAAGTCCAATACATTCATTGTGCCGGTTAGAAGGCAATAAATCAATTAGCAACCTCCAATTGTCATAACCCTTTATCACGACCAAGTTTTCTTAATGTAGCCTTATATCTGAATCGAATAATAGTAATGAAAGAAGCCAACATACAGGATAGTGAAAAATACTTCTCCTGTTATCCAATCGAACTCACAGAACACCCAATGCTCTATTCCATTACTCATTTTAAGGTTTTGCCGGTGGTTTTCAGAGAGCCACGAAACTGTGAAACATGTACACACTTTAAATAGAACAACCACACACATGATATGCAAGACATAAGCCTAATGAAGTTTGTATTTTAAGATTCCATTTCATATTATATCACGGGAAGCCGATATTCTTTAATAATATATAATAAACTCCCCTGCTCAAATGTCTTCTACATCACTCAGTCAGAGTTAAGGTAAGTGTTTTCAAGAGTCATTCACATCTGTAGGCTAATTAGTCTTGTAATCTAATTAATGACCAGCTTCATATGTTGCAGTGAATGGTTTTCTAAATACTTCCGCCACTGACACGTGACACACCGTCTTATAGCAGTTGCCGTTGTCTAGAACTCTATTCCCTGTTTTTCATTCTCTTTCATACACACCTCACAATCAGTATGAAATTCGATTGTTTGGAACCAAGAGCAGCGGAAGAAAACCCGTGTGATGTGATATGTAGCCATACAACAGTGGAAAGCGTTGTCAACAAAGCGGAAGTACCTGTTAATTGACGGAAGAACGTGTTAATCAAGGCACGAGATACATGTAATTACACAGTAAACACGCGCAGGATAAGTTACTAATTAGAATTTGAAACTCCAATTTGTATTCACCTTAAAATGATGTCTGAACAAATATTTGTATGTGAAAGGGAGTCCATCCATCCATGTACACTGTGAGCTAATTAAGACTTTACAAAGTCCCACTGCTTCTTAATCAATTTCTATAATGTAAGTTTAAGCTAAAATATAGCAAAACACAAATAAAACAAAACAGATTTGCCGTCTAGGTACCCGTAAGGATAACAATACATGTATATTGTTGTAGGACGTTTCGGTGTTTGTTCTAACACCGTTATCAAGCAAGTGAGGAAGGTCTTACAACCTACACCCAAGCGTCACTGTCACTAAAACAAAAAAGACGTTATGCATCCATATATTGTTATCATTCCTTACTGCCTCTAAATGCCTCTCAAAGAAGTTGTCTAGGTACCCGTTGGAGCACAGACCCGTTGAAATGTATAATGGCTCCAAGTCCTGTTTATATGATCTTTTATGTTCAGGTTTCATGTAACGTTTAACTTCGTGGGGGCGGTGGGGTAGCCTAGTGGTTAAAGCGTTGGCTCGTCACGCCGAAGACCCGGGTTCGATTCCCCACATGGGCACAATGTGTTAAGCCCATTTTCTGGTGTCCCCCGCCGTGATATTGCTGGAATATTGCTAAAAGCGGCGTAAAACTATACTCAGTCAGTCAGTCAGTTTAACTTAGTGTAACACATGCATGTAAAATGGGGACTCGGACCCGGGCCTTCGGCGTGACGAGCCAACGCTTTAACCACTAGGCTACCCCACCGCCCTGTAGAAGGAACACGTCCGCGGTCGCATTACTCGAGCGCTGGGCAGGTATTGATTATAACAAAGCATGGCGTGTCATGTAGGAAAACAGTTTATAATATCTCTCTCGATCGATCGATCGATCGATCGAATGAAGAATATTCCAAATAATTTTCAAAGCACAGGTAAGACTCAGTGAATGAGAGAATGACCAAAAACAGGTTCACAAAGTGTTAATATCATGAAAGGTGAATCTTTCAGCTACTCCGGAATAATGGATAAATGGTTATTTTTATAAACATTTTAATGAACTTTTAAATTTTCCTTCCTGACACTGATATAGAGGATGTGAGGGGTGATGTGGACACTGACACTGATATAGAGGTTGTGAGGAGTGATGTGGACACTGACACTGATATAAAGGATGTGAGGAGTGATGTGACTGACATAGAGGAGGTGTGGAGTGATGTGGACACTGACACTGATATAGAGGATGTGTGGAGTGATGTGACTGACATAGAGGAGGTGTGGAGTGATGAGGACACTGACACTGATATAGAGGGTGTGTGGAGTGATGTGACTGACATAGAGGAGGTGTGGAGTGATGTGGACACTGACACTGATATAGAGGATGTGTGGAGTGATGTGGACACTGACACTGATATAGGGGATGTGTGGAGTGATGTGGACACTGACACTGACATACAGGATGTGAGGAGCGATGTGGACACTAACACTGATATAGAGGATGTGAGGAGTGATGTGGACACTGACACTGATATAGAGGATGTGTGGAGTGATGTGGACACTGACACTGATATAGAGGATGTGTGGAGTGATGTGGACACTGATACTGTTATAGAGGATGTGAGGAGTGATGTGACTGATATAGAGGATGTGAGGAGTGATACGGACACTGACACTGATATAGAGGATGTGAAGAGTGATGTGGACACTGACACTAATATAGAGGATGTGAGGAGTGATGTGGACACTGACACTAAATAGAAGATGTGAGGAGTGATGTGGACACTGACATTGATATAGAGGATGTGTGGAGTGATGTGGACACTAACACTGATATAGAGGATGTGAGGAGTGATGTGACTGATATAGAGGATGTGAGGAGTGATGTGGACACTGACACTAAAAAGAAAATGTGAGGAGTGATGTGGACACTGACACTGATATAGAGGGTGTGAAGAGTGATGTGGACACTGACACTGATACAGAGGATGTGAGGAGTGATGTGGACACTGACACTGATATAGAGGATGTGAGGAGTGATGTGGACACTGACACTGATATAGAGGATGTGAGGAGTGATGTGGATACTGACACTGATATAGAGGATGTGAGGAGTGATGTGGACACTGGCACTGATATAGAGGATGTGAGGAGTGATGTGGACACTGGCACTGATATAGAGGATGTGTGGAGTGATGTGGACACTGACACTGATATAGAGGATGTGTGGAGTGATGTGGACACTGACACTGATATAGAGGATGTGTGAAGTGATGTGGACACTGACACTGATATACAGGATGTGTGGAGTGATGTCGACACTGACATTGATATAGAGGATTTGTGGAGTGATGTGGACACTGACACTGATATAGAGGATGTGAGGAGTGATGTGACTGACATAGAGGAGGTGTGGAGTGATGTGGACACTGACACTAATATAGAGGATGTGTGGAGTGATGTGGACACTGACACTGATATAGGGGATGTGTGGAGTGATGTGGACACTGACACTGACATACAGGATGTGAGGAGCGATGTGGACACTAACACTGATATAGAGGATGTGAGGAGTGATGTGGACACTGACACTGATTTAGAGGATGTGTGGAGTGATGTGGACACTGACACTGATATAGAGGATGTAAGGAGTGATGTGGACACTGACACTGATATAGAGGATGTGTGGAGTGATATGGACACTGACACTGATATAGAGGATGTGTGGAGTGATGTGGACACTGACACTGATATAGAGGATGTGAGGAGTGATGTGGACACTGACACTGATATAGAGGATGTGTGGAGTGATATGGACACTGACACTGATATAGAGGATGTGAGGAGTGATGTGGACACTGACACTGATTTAGAGGATGTGTGGAGTGATATGGACACTGACACTGATATAGAGGATGTGAGGAGTGATATGGACACTGACACTGATATAGAGGATGTGTGGAGTGATATGGACACTGACACTGATATAGAGGATGTGAGGAGTGATGTGGACACTGACACTGATTTAGAGGATGTGTGGAGTGATGTGGACACTGACACTGATATAGAGGATGTAAGGAGTGATGTGGACACTGACACTGATATAGAGGATGTGTGGAGTGATATGGACACTGACACTGATATAGAGGATGTGTGGAGTGATATGGACACTGACACTGATATAGAGGATGAACATTTAGATGTACTAAATGATCTTTTTTCAGAAGAGCAGGTATTTTTAAGCTTGAAAAATATTAGTTGGATAAGTTGGGGACCTCTATAAAGCTACTAAGAACTGCATATCACCTATATTAACTAAGTTGTTAAACAAATTGTATGATAGTTCACTTTTTCCAAAATGTTGGGGTAAAAGTATCATATGTCCTTTGCATAAATCTATTGTTAAAACAGATCCAGAGGAATTTCATTGATAAACTTTTTGTGCAAGATTCCAGCCTCAATAGTTGATAACCGATTGAAACAATGGTGTACCAAAACTTATCCAATTACAGAGGCACACGCTGGATTCAGACATGATTACGCAACAACAGACCATATTTCCACCCTGTAAGCTATGGCCAGTAAATATCTGTCAAAGAAAAATGGAAGGTTCTATTGACTTTTTATTGACTTTTTCAAGGCATTCGAATGTATTAGTCACAATCACATTCTTAAGATATTTGACTCCATGATTACACCTACTCTGTGTTATAGACCCGAGATTTTGGGAACCACATATTGCAAACAAATTTAAACTGTGCATTTTAAGTTCTGTAAGACTTTTCTCAAAGTCAGCAAGTATATCAACAATAGCTCTTTCAAACTTACAAACAAGTTGAAATATGACCTTACACATAAAATCGATGAAGAAAGTAAAAGTGATATGTTGAAACGACTAGTGTCGTCAAAAGACAGTAAGTTCATCTACCAAACATTATGTGATAAGGTTAGAGCCACGTTAGACAAAATTTCAAATAAATGGGAATCCAAACTGGACATGCCAAAAATGTTTTTTTCTATTATCAACAACTTTTGCATTGATAATAGGACAAGAAAGTTTCAGTACAAAATTCTTCATCGCATTTTAACAACACAAACTTTTCTTCATAATATAGGGACATCTGACCGCAGTCACTGGTTTCCTTGCACTGAGGAACCAGAAACACTATGATTGCAGGAAAATGGTTTGAAGAAACAACCAAGACGAAATTATACTGGACAAAAATAGTTAGGGATATATGTAAATTTTGAAATTATGACTAATGATCTCTTTATTCATTGACAAACTGATAAAATATCAATCATAAAAATACCAATATCCATAACTTATTTTGTTCAGCATAATAATATCAAAATCAATTATCCTACTTGGAGACCCCAATCAAAGCATTCTGTTAAACCATTTGTATAACATTCTCAAAATGTATATTGATATGTGTAGAAATAAAGAAACAAATTTGCATTTCCCCGGTTTGATAAAAAATATCAAGCAAATTTATAACATTGGAAAATATATTTATGGCCCTGCCAGTACCACATTAAAAACCAAATAGTCAACATTGATGCCGACACTTACAGCTGAACAAATTTAAACACGCAGCCACCAACACGCCCCCTCCACCGTCTTCTCCCCTCCCATGCCATCAACTCTTCTCCCTTCTCCTATTTGCACACTTTCACTTCTAGTACTTATATCCTATATTTGCTCTAATATAACCAATTATAGTATGTAAACAAAATGTACATTTCCGAGGATGTTACTTTCACATCCGTGGATAATATTTTCTTGTGTATGTGAAATAGATATACTTAGATATACTCACAAAGAAGTGGTGTAACACCCCGCTTTATATATATATGTACTTATGTATCGCAAGTGTAGCATCTGTCTTTATGCTAATACAAAAATAAATAAATAAATATAAAAACAAAAAAAGCAAACACAAAAACAATAGCATGGTGCTTGGAGAGTGTGGCAGACTTCCCTTTCAAGCCTACCAAATGCTCAAATCTCTTGATGATAATAAATCTGCATGGCCATCACGCATATGATTACATGTACATTCCTCTCAACTGTATTAAAACGAAGACGTGAACCTACCATTATAAAATAATCTTGAATTTCAATCTTCACCCTATATTCAGCATGTATGTATTATTTATGTTTGCATTTTGGTTGCATTATGTACCAATAGCTCACATTATTTAAATTATATGTCTGTCTGTCTGTCTGTCTGTCTGTCTGTCTGTCTAAATGCTGGCTTCTGCCTAGCCAATTATTCTTATCAGATTCCAATTCCAAAACCACATTTAGAAAAGGTGGCAGCGAGAGGAATTTAAGTCACAGAGGTACACATAAGCTGCAAAAAGTACGCAAATATTTACGTGAAAACTCAATTTCATTTATGTCTATGGCGTACAAGTACGCTTGAAAATAAATACTCAATAAATGCGATCTTATATGCGTACACACAACAATGTCAAATCTTAGCTTGCGTACCAGTGGATAGATGAAATAAATGAGGTATATTGAGAGATTCTATTTCACCACATGTACTTGACAACTTGCAGTCATTCTTATCGTTTCTCTTATTACAGATCAAATGTAAATAACAAACACGTAAACCAACAGTTAAACTCTCTTATATTTTTACAATTAATGGAAAATCGCAAAATACCCAGTTGAGTTTCAGTGAGGTGGGTACAATTTATTACGTTACTCAAAGGAAAATTAGGATAGCCAATTGAGATGAACAAAAGCGAGTACCCAAAAGGTTATCTGTAGCTCTGCAGTCAGGATCAAAAATCATATTAATCTTAAGTTGATTAACAAATATCTTTCGAGCTAACGCATTGCCTAAATTGAAATGATTTATTTTAGCTTTAGGCAAGACAAATATTTGCAAGTAGCATTCCAGTATTCAAGTCGTGTATGTAACGTTTGTGACTATCGCTAGCAGTAGTCTGGTCACCAACACGTGATCAGTTATATCTAAGTTACAATCTCAAGTTGGAATAAATTGCAAAAAACATATGTTCAATGTTTACAATTATCGAACAGATGTCTGATTACAAATATTACTTTGTTGTGTGTGTTATGTTTGCTTAGGAATTTTAATCTATCAGGGTCACTAACTCTGAAGACGTTCCGGTCGCCTTAGCCGAGCCTGTCGTTGGGCAGGTATTGATTCCAACAAAGGATGGCCTGCCATTCGTCAGTTCCACCTGCTACTATCTTCAAGCTTCGGTAACGCCTCTTCATGTCCGTGTCACAGTACTCGAGCCTATCATTTGGCAGTTATTGATTATAGAAAACATGGTCTGCCATTGGTCAGTTCCACCTGCTACTATGTACAAGTTTCGGTAACACCACTTCACTGGAGAGGTGACAGCCAGCCAGCATGGACAACACATCAACCGTGAGCTTCAATGTCACCGACTTCTTACCTCCTCAACAAACAGACATGGACTGCAACATGTCGGCTGGATGTGACGTCCATGACGCTAACCAAACTACTCATTTGTTTGACAGCATTCTGCAGATAACAGAAATCACTTTCACCTGCTTTGATGTTCTGAACGTACTTGGTAACACTGTCTTGATGTTGCTGATCTACAAGGCCTCAACAAAGATGGAAGCTTCAGGACGCCTCCTCATGAACCAGGCTGTGGCTGACGCAGGAGTTGGACTGTCCTGGTTTGTTTTGTATGGGATCATGTACTCCAACCCACACAGAGATATCCTGGAGACCGCCATGCTTGTCCAGAGGGTCGTCGTAGGCATCCTGCATTGCGAGTCTGGACTGTCACTGGCCATGACACTCTTCGCCCTTCACATTGCCATCTGCAATCCTGTTCCCTACAAAATCTACCAAAAACAAAAATACATCACTATGTTCATTGCAGCATCCTGGCTCGTGGCCACTGGCACCTGGAATCTGGCATTTGCAGCGGATAATCTCTTCATTCTGGAACGTGATTCTATCATAATGAAGCTGAATATTACTGAACAAAATGTCTGGTTTGCAGGGCTTATTTTGACCATGAACATCATTCTGCCTCTTGTCACGGTAAGCATCGCCTACATACGGATATGTCTCTTTATGCGCAAGGAGGAGAACACTTCTATCACATCAACTTCTTCTACCAAGCGGTATGTCCGTCAAGCAAAGGGCATTCTTCTCGTATGCATCACCTACATGGTAGCATCTGTACCTCTGTCCGTTTTTGAGACCTTTAGCATCTATATCGAAAGTGAGAATGACATTCTTTTCTTCGTTATTGGAACCAGCCTGGCTTTCCTGAACTATATGTACCTTGTCTTCAAGCTGCCGCTGTTTCTGTTGGCCTTCCCATCCTACCGTCGAGTGGCCTCCCGAATCTTCTGCCAACACCTTGCATCGAGACCTGTGCCCTCTGGCAATGGAGGTACGTTGCCTCAAAGGAAATACATGGCTGCAACAAACACCAATGATAGGCTTGATGATGGCGGCTTCCAACAAGCTGTAGAGGATGCTAGATCTACCCCGATACAGGAGGATGAGACAATCGGGATAAAGGGGAATATTGGAATAGTTAACCATGGCTTCATCAGCACCTCTTCTGTGAACGACACGGGGACAACTAACGTCACCTCCAGCACAAACGATGACGTCAGTCCGAGCGTCGTCAGTCATAGGCCGGTAAGTAATAGACAAGCTATTAATTAGAGAATAACGGGAAATAATGTTCACAGTGCCGAGCCTTGGCGTGGCACTGAACATAATTTTAACGAGGCATAATTCCCGTAATCACTCGTACCGAGTTGGTTATTTTATTTATTACCCATAATGTAATTTAAAAGGAAGAACCACGAAATAAAAACCACCCGGAGACAGGACTTGTAACCTCAAAAAGCTGATTCGTATTCATGTGCGTATTAAACCTAACTTCACCAGCGGTAATAACATAACTACGCTATGGAAAATAGTACATCATAAAATCGCTTCAAAATACAACAAAAATATTATGTCTGGAATAATTAATTAAAATTTGTTAATATGATAAAAATGATCATTGAACTTAATAACAGCTAAACATTTATTCGATCCAGTCAGTCCGACGGAACATCGTTCATTTACGACTGACGCGTGTCTAGTGACGGGGGACGGTGTAGTGTTGAAACACACTCCGGCAAAGCCTGTCAATTTTTGGGAAAGTCAACGGTTAACAGTTGGGAAATCTAAAAGACAATCATCCCACGAATACATCTAGAAAAAGTTTCCTGCCAAGAAACTCAACAAGTTTGAAGATTAAACAACATTTTGTTCTGTGGAAAGCGTGTTACACTGACGTCACAGTAGAGTACAGCAGTTCCAAGAAGGATAACTCTAGTCGGAATCCGAGTCTATGAAATGTGTCAATCTCTGCATCGGCTACTGGGACAAACCTCTCGGATTGATTAGGAATGCATGGATATAAAAAAGTCATCTTGAAGAAGAACATTTAGCACTGATTCCGGTAAGAAAGGAGCTGTTTTCTGGTTCGATGGCATAGACGCCGTGTCCGACTCACTTGTTACACTTTCAGATAACATCTTTAATCGGTATCTTGCTGTTTCTATTTCCCCGAATTCAGTTTTAACAACAAACAAGTTTTGGGAATTCAAGGGCTGTAAAATTCTTATCACTCTTCCTATTTGGTCACCGTCAACTTTAACTAGGTCAGTGACCTTGATCGGGGTTAGCCTAATGGCGGTCATGTTTGTTTACAAACAATGCAAACGATTGTTTTAAGGTGGTTTTTTTTAGGATTATAAAATTTAAAAAGACTACTATTCAAAATAATAACGTCTAATAAAAAGATTACTCATATTCTTTAACTTTTATGTTTTCTTTTGAAATCTCGGAATGTGTGATTACAGCACGTTCTGATGATCATTGAAACGGTACAAGTTGTCAATGAACTTGGATCATGAAAAGTAGTTCCGTCAACCAATCATATTTCTTCTCTGCTTAGCGGACCAATCACTGAAAAGCACATGTGCGATTATCACAAAAATAATCACCTGTGTATCCTAGCCCGTATGGGTAATATCACTTTTTTCGCCCCGAGTCATGTCTTGTTTTCTCTTACCGAAACTCATTCCTCAAGTGTATTCGCGATTAGCATATGACCCTTATCTATGACATCAAGGGTCAAAATCTCAACCAATGGCGTCATAGATGCCGTGTGATACGTTCCACAAAAGGAATACACTCATGAATATTAATAACTCCACGAACACGTGTCGCGTGTACCCGTGTCGTTTGCTATTGTTTCACTATGTTGTAACCATTTTGCATCAACAACTGACTCTTTCATTGTATTTATGAGCATTCATTTTAACGAATTTATGTAATTCCTTGTCTACAACGTTTCAAATTGAAAGGCAGTGATCTTACAACCTTTGGATTTGAGGTTATTCCCGTTATTGACGTGCAGGGGCTAACCGCATGGTCGGGCTATAGGCCATAGTCTACCAGGAGAATTAGAGTTTGACCCTAAACAAATTGCAACA